TGTGTGTGTGTGTTTTTTTGTTGTTTTTTTTTGTGTGTGTGTGTGTGTTTGTTTGTGTGTGTGTTTGTGTGCTTGTGTGTCTCTGTGTGTGTGTGTGTGTGCGTGCGTGCGTGCGTGCGCGCGCGCGCGTGTGTGCGTGTGCTTGTGCGGTCTCTGTCTCTGTCTCCGTCTCTCTCTGTCTGTGTGTGTGTGAGGGTGAGTGTGTGAGTGTGAGCGCGAGTGTGTGAGTGTGAGTGTGTCAATGTGTGAGTGTGTGTGAGTGTGTGTGAATGTGAGAGTGTGTGTGAGTGCGTGTGTGTGTGTGCGTGTGTGTGTGTGTGTGTGTGAGGTGAGTGTGTGAGTCTGTGAGTGTGTGAGGCGAGTGTGTGAGCGTGTGAGTGTGTGGGTGTGTGAAGGTGTGTGAGTGTGTGAGAGTCTGAGTGTGAGAGTGTGAGAGTGTGAGGGTGTGAGTGTGTGAGAGTGTGTGTGTGTGTGTGCGTCAGTGTGTGTGTGTGTGAGTGCGTGACTGTGCGAGAGTGCGAGTGTGCGAGTGTGTGGGAGTGTGTGCCAGTGTGAGCGTGTGAGAGTTTGAGAGTGTGAGAGTGTGAGAGTGTGAGAGTGGGAGGTTTTGTGTCTCTGTGTGTGTGTGTGGTTGTGTTTGTGTTTGTTTCCGTGCTTGTTTGCGCGATTGTTGTTTGTTTAGATCCATCAAACCTAAATGTCTAGATAAGGCCTATATTCCTAGATACATACATGTAGGCTGTGTTTTCTAGATACATACATATAGGGTGTGGTTTCACTCGCGCTTGTGTTTGTCCGCCTATCGTCTATTGACTCCATACACTGCATCTATTGCCTTGGCCCACTGCCTCTTCGCTGCTTCCGCTTCGATTCCTGGTTCGTGGTTCGACCGTGTGGTGCAAGGTCCTGAACCCTCGATCACACCGCTCAGGGCAAACAGCTGGCCAGATGCGCTGACGGCTAGAACTGTTTTGGAGTTCCGTTCATCAAGGCAGGTCATCATGCATTGGTTCATGCAGCCCAGAAAACAAGACTCTCGTATATGCTCGTTCATTCCCAACCGACCAGGGACTCGACCTGTGCCCTGACTGCTAAGCTGAGCCCATCATGCAGCACTTATGTCTGCAGTGCAAGCAGCATTTCACTTCGTTCACTCCGGGCAATATCATCTTCATCAACATCACCATCACCATTATGCTCGAGTCACCCTCGTGACTAACCCGTGCCACCCTCACCAACACCTTGACGAAATCAGACTTGTGCTGACATCTTGTTCTGAACCGCTGCAAGGCTGCACCATCGAGCGCACTTGCACCACATGGCCACGCAGGAGTACAGCTGAATGCAGAGCAACCTTAGTCAAGAACTGCATGGGGCTTGTGTCGCCTAGTCGAACACTTCTCGCAGGCAGCCACGTATAGGGCTGGTGGTATGATTATGCTTGATTGTAGGTCCTGCGAACAGGCTCCAGGGGTCTATGGGACCTTCCCGGCAATGCGGATGTGGGAGTCTGATTGCCTTCACGATTTAAGGCATTAGAGATCCTGAGAGGTTTTAGGTTCGGACTCTGGGTTCACGATCACTCGGGGTCGCTTCGAAGCTTCGGCGCTTGCTCCCAACAATCCAGGATCAGGATTATTATAGGGTTTCAGGTTGAGGGTTCTCTGCACTCCTGCTGCGCTCTGCCGAGGCAGCCACCAGGTGATCGTCTTCCGGACCCACACACAGGTGCACCAACCCTGCCTGCGGCCCGAGGCTTTGGAACATTAAAACCCTAGCCCTGAACTGGAACCCGGGATGAAAGGTAAGCCAGGGCATGCTTTAGACAGACAGAGGCCCACGGAAATCTTGGCTGCCACAAGGCCTGAAGTGTCATCTGCAGACCCTACAGAAAGTTCCTGAGGCACATAGCGGTGCAGTGAGCTCGCGTGCTAGCGCAATGCTGCACAGCTCTAGAACATTTCTACATATTGTGGTTTTGTGTTCTGGCGACTGGTGGCCTGCAAATACAGCGGACGCCGCACCCAGAGTAGTGCTCGTAGGCACGCCCCACGATGTCGCCCCTCACACCAGCATCGAAAACCTTGGAGCTGACGGGCTTGGGGATCTAAGGTCTCACTTCATTCAGGTTTACGGCAAGCTTGGGGCTTAAGGATACGAGCTTCAAGATCAGAGGCTGTGTTGGCTGCGGCTCCGAACAGAGGAGCTCTCTTTTTAAAAAGCCTTGCTTTTTTTGCCGAGCACAGGAGCCGCCATTGCGTTTGCTTTCAGGCCGTCGGGGTCATCCAAGTCCAGAAGCCTTTCATGGGCAAAACACGGCCGTAGTGCGGACATCGTTGGCCGACGTGTGTCTTTCAGAGTCCGGTGACAAAGCATGCAGGTGCAAGGTGGGTAGTCAAAGGTGAACCTGAAGGTCGAGAGGCTTCTGCTGCATTTGCCTGGCATGTTCGTACCACGGAACCTTGGTGACAAGTCATTGAGGGATGGCTGTGACGGGCTTCGGCAGCAAGGACTTCCCATGTTAGCGGTCGCGAGCAGGATTGGGGCGGAGATCTGCGGCGGTGCGGAACCTAAAACCAGACCCTGAAACCCTCAGAACTTAGAACAATAAGACCGCAGGAAGTCACGCATTCTGAAAAACTTGAAGCTCGACTCTAGAACAAGGAGCCCGACAAGGTCCCAGTGATCCACGGCGCGATTTCTGGGAAGTGCAAGCAGCATTGTAGAAGCCTTGTGAAACCTCGCCCTAAACCTTCTCGAAACTGGTCGTCTCCAGAGAATCATATTAAAGAGGCGGCCAGGCAAGAGAACCTCATGTAGCAACATGGCTCCAGTCCATGGGTTCCACGCTACACCGAAGACCCGTGGGCCCTATGCCCTAGGCTGCAACCCTGACAAAGCCGGAAGCTCGGCGAGTCACGTTCTCTTCTTGAGCATTGAAGAGACCTGCGGTCACCTGTCTGCAAAGCTCGACGGGGGCTTCATTCGCAGCATCGCTATCCGACGCCCCTTGGGCCACACCTAAACCCTGAAACTCCGACAATGAGCCTCGAGGCTTAAGGCTTACTGTGACAGCGACAGCATAAAGGCCCCAGAAACGTGTGGATAAGAAGGTGGGCATAGTTTTCCATCCATATACGCCAGAAACCACAGTAGAACATGGAAAACCTAAGCGAGCCTTGCCTCGAAGTCATATCCGACCGAACCGTCGCACACTCCACGGCCCTCAACGCCCGAATCTGCAGCCCTTTGCAGCACCTCCTGGCTCACGCGGTGCGTCCAGGTGGTCGCCTGGCGGACCACCTGCCCCACAGCCGCTTTTGCGAGAGTTCTCTGAGTTGCGAAGGGAAGCCCATCCCAGCGCCCACACCTTGTCAGCTGGAAGCAGGCAGGTCAGGAGTCCTCCGACTCCAGGCTGAGATGCTTTGGGCACGGTCCCTTCATCCCATCCCGGCCACGATGCAGCCGAATACACCTATGGAAACTTTCGGTCTTTGCGACTGCCTGTGTAGGCCCCCGGCCGAGGTCACTGCAGGGAGAAAAACACCGAAGTCTTCAGGCAGGGTGTTTGGGGTGTCACCGTCTAGGGCAAGTTTAAGGGATTTGGATTTCAAGAGAGCCGGTCCAAGTCGCCTTTGTCAGGATAACACTCCCCAGCACCATCACCGTCGTCAGAACCAAGACGTGCCGTGTTGTGCTAGGAACCCACCCAAACCGGGGGTCCTGACGTGGAGATGTCCTTGGCAAGCGCATCAACCGGGATCGCTTTGGATCCACACTTCTTTTCGTAAAGGCGAGCTGCCCAAAAGCCTCAGTGGAGGAGGTGGTTTCAGTCGCGGCCTACGGCTTCAAGTTTGAGCTTGGGATCGGGGCTACCTTGAGGTTGAGGGCTGTCCCTCTCTCTGGGCAAACTTGAGCTATTGGGTTTCGAACTTTTTTTCCCACCCGCCCAGCTGACTATGGTTTCGAACTTGGGAAACCGGAACTGCATGCTCGGAGTCTCGTTGGGATTGCTATTGAGCTATTCCGCAGAACAGCGTAAAGCCGGGAACTCAGCACTAATCCCAATGGATTCAAGCCACTTCAAGGGAACGTTCGGAAGAGTGCGGTGTTAAGAAACTTCCTTTAACGGGTGCGGTGCTGAGGTTCCGAGCCTAGTCACTCTATCGATTCCACCAAAGCCCCGCAGCCTTGCTCTGCACAAAGCAAACCTCAACCCTGCCTTGAGCCCCCAAGGTTGATCCCCCAAGCCCCAAGCCTTACGCGCGAAGCGAACAAAGCCCGAAAGAATCCAAGCCGCGCTGGTCCATGAGGAGGATGCCGCTGGTGATGACAGGGATGCCGGCCTCGCAGGTTAGATTTCAGAAATTGTAGTAAATTTTGTTGTTTTGTGTTGACACCTCTTTTCCTCCTGCAGACTCCTGCACGGTTTTGTACTGTTTGGAGCTTCGCAGAAGGCAGAATTCCGTTTCAGGGTGCAGGGTGCTGAGCTCAGACTTTAGGATCGGTCTGCATGTTCAGGACGTAAAGGCCTGGGGGGCCATGTTGGCGCAGAGATTCGAGAAGGCTTCTGGGTAGTACTCTCGCTGGAACTCTGCACAGGCCTTAACAGGGCTGAGGTTTCAGGGGGCTGTCGGTTTCTGTTGCTGCGGAGCTTCATTCAATGCCTTGACTAGGGATTCTTGGCTTGCGGTCTTGAGCCGCAGTAGTTGCAGTAGAGACTCTCCACTTAAATCCAGCCCCAACCCCTGACCAAGCCATAAACCCACCGACGTCAAGTGCAGGCCTTCAGCGCTTCGGAGGTGACCTCACTTTTTCGTCTTTGGGAATGGTGTGACGGGATGAGGGTCATGTCTGACACGGCTTCGTGCTTTCAATATTTGTTAAGTACTTTGTCATGGCCAGACCTCAGACGAATGAACCAGCATCACGATTTGGCATGCTTCATAAGCGGCCGGCAAAGCACTGAGCCCGGGTGCCGATGCACTGCGATTAGGGGGACCTCATGAAACCCGATACACTCAGCATGAACAGTTGCGAATCTCTCATCCTTGGCGGAAGAGAGGGGCCTTGCTTGCGCATGTCAGTCCTCAGTCCTCTGGCCACAAAGCTCCCGGGGGCCTACAGGTCAACAAGAACATAGTTGCAAAGCCCCGTCCACAACTCGAACAACAACTTTCGAGAACTGAACGGTTCATGATTCTTGTCTTCTCTCCTGAATCCTATGGCCCTGCGCAATTGCAGACAAGGCACCCCGAGCCCACCATGAAGGATGGCAGCATCCACCTGAAGGACACCCGACCCTGAACCTCTCGCATCAGGCTTCTGAACGCTTAGCTTGAAAGGGCTTCGCCGTTCCCTGAACTGAACAAGGAGGACATAGCACAAGCCTGAACCCGAAACACTGAAAACTGTTAGCTGTCAAAAAGCCAAAGCTTGAGCTCGAAGCCCATGCGGCACTTCACCCCTGTGAGTTTAGGGCACAGGTCTTTTGGTTCAGGATTTGCGGTTGGGTAAGGTTTGAGGACGATTACTCGAATCAGCTCGCTTCACACTGTCGATGGCGCAGTTGGAAAGGCCAAGGCATGCTTCTCGAAAGGAGGGGCTGAAGTGAATGCAACTGCGTGCTTCGAAACACCCATGCTTGCCGAAAATGCAGTGGCCGAACTCACTTGAACCCAGTGGTCCTGTAACCACTTTGGCGCATCAGTAGGTTTGGGGCGCTCACTGGGCGCTCACACACTGACACTCCAGGCCAGTCGAGGCACGTGCATGATGCTCGGGTTAACGGTTAACGGCTCTTTGGTGCACAAGGAGAAAAGCGAATCGAACCATGATAGGATGTTAACAGGATCCTCATGCAACCCTACTCAAACTTGAAGGGATTCCTCTTCAATTCTAAAGGGATTCGTAAAAGCTGATAGCACCATTAGGAATTGACTTTGATCTCAGTAATGCTGGTTATTCCTTTGCTCTCAGCAGCTCTAACTAATGGCTTCCTGCACGACATACTCTCTGACACGCAATTCGGGCGAAACTTGGAACTTCATGCGTCCGCTGCACTTTGCGTAGACATGCGCAAGAATAACGGTGCCCAAACTTTCACCCTCCAAGGAGGCTGCCAACTCCCTTTCTCCGACTGTTCATGTTGCCAAACCGACACGGGAGCCCCACAAGGCTCACAGCCCGGAGAGCCTGCGGGAAGAGGTCGCAGAAGGGCACGGGGCCGTCAAGAATTTTCATCCTTGTCGGCTCCGGAGCTTGGCCGGGCCGGGGTTTTTCACATCTTCCAGAGGCTTCAGTTCAGAAAACCCATGTCTGCGGATTTGGGCGCTGAGATGCTCTCCTACTCTACCAAAAACATCTTGACCTTCGGAACAAACAATACAAGGCTCGCGCTTCAGATGCATGAAGAATGCTAGCTGCCAGACGATGCTCACCACTAATCACTATAGCCGGTTTGCGTACTTTGCATTCTTGAGTACCGACGCGACAAAGCAAAAACAGCATCCAAATTGCACCATATAGAGTGTGCTGCATGAACCTCAAAAAGGTATCCTCCCGTCACCTCAGCAAAGACTCGATTCATGTCGCAATTTCCTAGTCTAGGAGCCTGTGCACCACCCATGTACATCAAGTGTAATTTAAAATTGGGGGTGCGTCCGGCTGCGCCGTTGACTTTAGAATGCGTGCTAGAAGAAATTTGTAAGGTGGCCTCTTTCAACCTGAAAACAGCACCGCACCCGACTCTAAACCGAATCGTCTTTGCGGATCCGAGGAGCAAGCCTTGCTCCTCGAACTGCCTGGTGGACTGAACACACATAGGGGTTGTGAACTTGCACTTGCCAGCTTTCTGAAGCATTTACGGCAATGGTGAAGCCGAAAACAAATCTTCAAGCTTAGAAACTGAACCTCCGAACTGCTCCCCAAGCCCGCGGACGCTGCTCAGTCCAAGATCCACTGTGGCGGGCCCAAGCAGGACACGTTGTTCCGTGGATTGAAACTGATGCATAATGGGGCCCTTGCTGAACTTTCTCGACGTCTTGCCGGGCCAATTCCTCCTGCTGCAGAAGGGCTGTGTTGGATGGCGGCTGCGTCCGGGCAGTGGTCGCACACTTTTAAGACTTCTATGCTCGTCCAGATCAAGAACTTCCTTGTAGCTTCGCATGTGATCTTTCGGAAGCCTGTCATTGGTTCATGTGGCTTCGGGCTTCCAGTACTTTGGGGTCTGGGTTCAAGCTCCAAAGATTGGGAGTTTCAGCGCTTCAAGCTGCGTTTCGGCGACCTTGCTGGCACACCACCACGATTGCACAGAGCGCATGCGGCCGAGGACAGATTGAACCGTTGTCTAAACACTAAGACACTAAGCTTTAAATGGACCGAAATAGTTGCGGATGCTGCTGAAGCTTGAAAACAGAGCCTTGGACCATGAACACGCTACACCGCCATGCTCCAGGCCCAGCAGCTCTTCAGGCTCACATCATGTACTCTTCTTACAAGGAAAGCGCGACAAAGACAGCCACAGTAATACTACAAACATAAAAAGCACTATACTCTAACTATACTGCAACTATACTATAACTCTGCTTTGGCCGCACAACGATAGCATTGTTGTTTGGCCCTCCACAAAAAACGAGAGCGCGCTAGCCAGGCCTCCGGCTGCCCGGCTGCCAGGACGATACAGGCGACGTTTTGCTTGGCCAGCTCCACCTCGTAGGCTTAAGGGCCTGAAGATCTAGACTAGGGATCTTTGCAGGGTCCCCAAGGCGGTTCTATAGGGGTCAATTGGAGAAGGGTTTTGAGGTATACTTTCGCGAAAAACATAAAAAAGGACCATACGGGGAAACTGATACCAATTATTCCGTCTGGGTTGGTCAACGCGGTTCAGGGATCTCATTCCTGGGCTACCTGGGTTGAGGACGATGTTTCCGGAGTTTGGATTTGGTTTCTTGCGTCTGGGGTTTGGGTTATTGTTTTTTGCCTCTCGCCTGTCTAGGACAAAACAGCATTGCAGGGTTGACATGCCCGACAAAGCCTCAAGATGCCTCATCCCATAAGGACTCAAGGAATGGCTTGGCTTTCGACTCCAACACTCACACAACGCAGGCACGGATTCCGGCAAGAATCCTTCAACGGCATCATTAACTAGCCAAATGCGCCCATGGGAAAGAAGGAAACAACCCATAAAAACATGTAAGAACCTAAACCATAAACTCCCCAAAGAAAGTTCCTTATCTGGACTTTGTAACCTCCTCCTACTACTACCACTACCACCAACACCCCTCCTCCTCGTGCTCCTGCTCCTCCTGCTCCTCCTACTACTACTACTACTACTGCCACTGCTAGTGCTACTGCTGCTGCTACTGCTACTGCTACTACTACGGCTACTACTACTACTACTACTACTACTAATTACTACTACTACTACTACTACTACTACTCCTCCTTCTCAGGTATGGTCCACGAACAAAACACTTTGGCACGAACAATGGTA